CATTCTTACTTTACAGCATTTTTTCACACCTGCCTAAAACTTTTGCACAATACTATATATCCAAAAAGGTATCTCTTAAAGTTATGTGTTAAAAAAGCCATTTATTGGTATTGAGGAAATTTCAATTTAAAAAAAAAACGCATCAGAGAAATACATATAACAAAAAGCAAGATATAAGAAAAATGTGAATTAAAAAAATTGTTGAATTTTGTAAACAAATATTTGAGGAAATTCACATTAATTAAGCACACATTAAGGGAATTTGCAAACAAATATTGTTTGTATCCTGACCCATATCATTATATCAAGCAATTCAATATCCTTTCAGTGACAGGTAGAAGTGAAGACATAGAATTGTTTCTGGGTTTCTCTCCCCTCCCAGCTATTTTTTCACATTAATTAAGCACACATTAAGGGAATTTGCAAACAAATATTGTTTGTATCCTGACCCATATCATTATATCAAGCAATTCAATATCCTTTCAGTGACAGGTAGAAGTGAAGACATAGAATTGTTTCTGGGTTTCTCTCCCCTCCCAGCTATTTTTTGGTTTTGGGGAGGTCTACAGATGTTTCTGCAAAAGTTGGGAGGCAGCAGTGTTGAATTTTCCCCACTAGGTTTGTAGCATTTTCCTTCATCACTGACTGGATCCTACCTATGTTCTCTGGGTTACTATCCCAGAAACACAGAACTGCAGCCAAACAGAATACTTACAATTTTAATTTTTTCTTTAAGTTCTGAGCTGATTATCCCTCCAGGTCCTTTTTGGGCAAGGACAATCTTCATTTCTTTCTTAAGCTTTGTGGGGAAAAAAGTGAGTTATCCAGAATGAAAGAAAAAGTCAGTGCATATAAAAAAAGCTTTTGTTTTTGCAAAATTCTGCATTTCAATTATTTTATTAAAACATTCATGTAAAATTTGCATTGACCACTTGACAATAAAACAAGTTTTTAAACTTATGTACTAATCTAAAATTGAAGAAAGAGCCTGCTGAATTGGATCAAAAATCCTCCCATCATAGCACTGCATTTACCATTGTGGCTAGCCAGAAGATTCTGAGAGGTCAAAAGCAGAACACAAAAGCAACAAACATCTTCCCTATTTCTCAGCAACAGCCAGGACACAAAGAAGTCTCATTCAGTGCTAAAATTAATCACTTAATAACCATTTTTTAAAAGTTAAAGGACCACAATGTTTCTTGGTCCCTAGAAATTTTGTATATGGCAAAGAATCCTATATTTAAAAGTAAATCAGGAGAAAGCCCTGATTAATTTACCAGGAACTTATGTAACAGGAATCAAAGATTTGCAAGCAGCCCCCTGGGGGGAATTTTTAGTTTCCAGGAATGGCTAAGAGACCTGTTGCAAAATAAAAGATTCTGAGATTTGTTAAATTGTTTTAGATAAACTTTCCATACATAACCCCTTCAAAGGCTAACACAAAGGAATTTAAATACTAGACAACCCATGACCAGTTAGGTCATCCCTCTTTCCACATGTAATATAGGCTGGCGCCATTTCCCCTCCCCTCACAACCCTCAGTAGAGCCCCAGTGAAGCCTCCTCTTCCTCTACCTGGGCTGACCCACAGAACTGCCTGCCACATTGCTGGGGGCATGGGGAACCAAGGGAGCTACGGACTGTGAGGAAAACTGCACCCCTGCTCCCCATCCTGGTGTGTCCCCAAGGGCCCCCTCCCTCCAGGGAGGAAGAGGGCTCACCCATTAACCGCCAGCACCCTCCAGCTAGCCCTACCTCACCAGCACCGATCCAAGTTGCTCCCTTGTCCTTCCCTCACCACCCACTGCCATTAAGAGATTTCAATTTTCAGCCTCAGTTCCAAAAGGAACTAATCACCACTCACCCATCAGGCCTTGCTGCCAGCTGATTGGGCACAGGGGCCAGAGGAAGGAGGAAAGATGGCGGGGATACACCCCTCCCATCTTCCCTCGCACCTTGGTTTCTGAGAAGTATAATGGGAAATCATGTTCATGTGACCCCGGCTAACCATGGTAACCTTGCAGTGGCCACAACTTTGCAAACAGAATTGGTGTGAGGAACCTTGAAATTTCAATTCCACAGGAGTCATGGGTCCCAGATTTTGGACACATTCTTTAAGTTAGCCCATTTGAGATGCGTTGCTTCAAAAATTGTTGCCCTGTGATGCACTATTTTGGCCAATAGGTTACAGACAGGAGAGTTTTAGTAGTATATAGATGTAAACCAGAAGATTAGTTAATTAGTAATCAGCATTTATTTGTTAGTGGTGGTGAGGGAAGGGGTAGCTACAACTCTTGGATTGTATTGATAAGCAGGGAGAAAGGCACTTTCTTTTCAAACATATTAGTATTTATTTTTAAAAACTTCGATTCTTTTTATTATGAGTGATAACAATGTTGGGAAGTAAGCCAATATTATTCATATTAATCAAATCTAGATTAGCTGTGTAGGTCAGGTGAAGTTTGGAGAGAATGGCTTACTCAAATGAGATTGATATGTGCAAGGTAATTTTATTCCCATATCCATTTACTTTAGTTTTGCCTCTCTCCAGAATTATTTAAAAACTTTATATTGAATTATTGGATATATATTCCTCTATAAGTTGCCCAGAATACACTTAGTGTAAAAAAGGGGAATATTTTTGTAATAAAGCAGAAATAAATGTTGAAAGCTAAACTAGCAACTGCTCCTACTTTTTAGCCCAGTAATAATTAGAAAACAAACTTATTATCTGATCACATTGTGTGGTACCCCAGAACTTTTTTTGAGAAGTTTAAGAATTTAGGATTGAAAATCCTTATACTGTACAAGGATATTTCAAGATAGGCAATCCAATGTCCATAAAAATTCTCACATTATCTTACATTAACCTTTTAATCTATGGCCTTTCACAGATTACTTAACTACAACTTCCCAAACTCCAACCAGCATGGACAAAGGCGAATGATGCTGCAAGGTATAATTCAGCAACAGTTGGAAGGCCACAGCTTTTCCACCACTGATATCAATCTGAAGTGTTAACTTTTTCTGTGAATGGCCATATATCCTCAAAAATAACAAACTAGCAGGACTAAAGCCAGCAGTACACACAGCAAGACCCCAAAATAGCTGGAAATACCCATCCTCTAAGATCTTTTAAAAGTTTTTTTTCCTAATGGTAGGGTGTTTGGGTTTGTTTTGGTTTTTCTTCATTGAATCCATTTTTCAGCCAAAACAATGTTTTCACAATTTTTAAATAATGCCAATTCAAATAAGCATAGCTGCTAGTGAAAGTTAGGAATGAATGAATATTTCTTATGTTGCATCAGTCAATTTTTCTTAGGAAAAATGGACAAACCTGTGAACCAGGAGTGGGACTCATTGTCAATTAGGTTACAGCTGCATTGAAAAATTATATAGTGTGTGGGGGTGTGGGTAGATACCTAATATAACTTTGGCTGAGTGTAATATCACCTAAGATTTATCTTCACAGTCTGTTCCTGATGATTTCCTGTACAAAATGAAAAGGTATTCCATGCCACAGAATTCCTGGGATGTAAATGAATCTTATTTCAGCCATCTCTAGGGTCTAATTCTTACTTGTCTCATCCTCTCCTCAGATCTCACCACTGGACTTTCAACTAGTTTCATCTGCATTTGCAAATCATCAGATTTCTGGTCCGCTGTTGAACACAGATTATCCATAGGCAGGACTGAAGAAGGCATCTTTGCTACAGGTACTGGTACAGCAGCAGACGAAGTTTGCTTTGTTTTATTTGGCTGGACTGCCATTTTGCCTTAAGAAAGCCAGGAGAAAAATTTCAGCAGTAACTACACGACTCCATTTTCTATTTCAAGGCTGTCAATACTGAAGGTTCTAAGCAGCAAAATCTCAATCTCTCACCAGAAGAGTTTAGAAAATGAACATATGCAGATTCATGTCTGTAACAATATATGTAATCTGTAGTGATATGCATAAATCTGACCAAACAAGCTTACAACAAAGACTATTGTAATAATAATACATCTCTTTGCCTTATCCTCACTAATCTAATCTTCTTGCTGGGCATCCAGCCAGCTGCTGTATTAACCTAAAGAGGCACTGAGTAGTTCTACTACTACTATTTCTCCTCTAATTACAACCAAGAGCACTTGTATCTATCATCTCAAAGAAAGTACGTGCTCTCAGAAGGGAAACCACCACCACCACCTCAATCACTATATATTTTCCAGCAAGATCTCCCACTGTAGCATTATTCACAATACAGTTTGAGAATTTATGTGTCTGTGTGTACATATATATATATACTGTGTGAATCTATATGTATGTATATGTATGTGTGTGTGTGTATATATATATATATATACAGTATACATACATACAATATATATATACAGTACTGTGCAAAAGTTTTAGGCAGGTGTGAAAAAACGCTGTAAAGTAAGAATGCTTTCAAAAGTATATATTGTAATTGTTTATGTTTATCAATTTACAAAATGCAAAGTGAAGAGAACAGAAGAGGCAGGTGTGAAAAAACGCTGTAAAGTAAGAATGCTTTCAAAAGTATATATTGTAATTGTTTATGTTTATCAATTTACAAAATGCAAAGTGAAGAGAACAGAAGAGGCAGGTGTGAAAAAACGCTGTAAAGTAAGAATGCTTTCAAAAGTATATATTGTAATTGTTTATGTTTATCAATTTACAAAATGCAAAGTGAAGAGAACAGAAGAGGCAGGTGTGAAAAAACGCTGTAAAGTAAGAATGCTTTCAAAAGTATATATTGTAATTGTTTATGTTTATCAATTTACAAAATGCAAAGTGAAGAGAACAGAAGAGGCAGGTGTGAAAAAACGCTGTAAAGTAAGAATGCTTTCAAAAGTATATATTGTAATTGTTTATGTTTATCAATTTACAAAATGCAAAGTGAAGAGAACAGAAGAGGCAGGTGTGAAAAAACGCTGTAAAGTAAGAATGCTTTCAAAAGTATATATTGTAATTGTTTATGTTTATCAATTTACAAAATGCAAAGTGAAGAGAACAGAAGAGGCAGGTGTGAAAAAACGCTGTAAAGTAAGAATGCTTTCAAAAGTATATATTGTAATTGTTTATGTTTATCAATTTACAAAATGCAAAGTGAAGAGAACAGAAGAGTGGTCACACCAAATATTGATTCGATTTAGATTTCTCTTCTGTTCGCTCACTTTGCATTTTGTAAATTGATAAACAATTACAATATATATTTTTGAAAGCATTTGTACTTTTCAGCATTTTTTCAAACCTACCTAAAACTTTTGCACAATACTGTATATATATGAGATATGTTTTTATTAGGTAGAGTCTCAGTCTTAGTAAGCAAGGTGTGCTAAATAAGAACTATTCCATTTGAATTTAAATAAATATTCTCTTACACAATTTTTCTGGTTGTTTCGTAAGGGGGACTTCTTTTAACATCAACGAAGAGCCTGCTCTTGTTTGCACAATTCTGATGATATCTGAAGCTGCATTCAGCACTTCGAACATAGAGAAGAATCCATAACGTGTGAATTCAAATGGACGTCCAAAGCGTTGGATAAAGGCTTTGTCAAAATCTGAGAGCAAAACTGGCGAAAATCTCAACAGTTCCTTCAGCTCACTTTTTATAACAGCAGGCAGAGTAGGAGGGACCCCCCCACGCCAAGGCAAGCTTAGAGAAAATTTGGGGTGCCAAGGCAGACCAGAGTGAGATGTGGCAGGCAAAGAGAAATAATTCAGCCTACGTTTGGAAAGTTGTGGCTTAGGTCTGCTCTTTTGTCTGGCAACCAAGCTTGCAATTCTTTTGGTAGATTCATCTGCAATAGCTAAAAGACAGAAAAATAATGTTTATTATCCCAGTACTAGTACCCATAGTTTGCATTCTGCAGGCACAGATATTTTTCTAATTGTACAGACCATAATCTCCCACTCCCAAGTCCAGCATTATTGAACTTTTTAAAACAAACACTCCCACAGCTTTCTACTTTGTCTCATTTGCAATTTTCTCCCACACTTTACTGGGCTTTTGACCTTTGTGATTTATCTTTCAAACTGCCTCAGAAGAGAAAGACTGATCTGTATGACCTGCTCTGGAAGCCCTTATCAGCTGAAGACAGATTCATGAATTTAAAAAAATGTGAAGGGAAATTGAAATCTTCAATGTATTAGGTACACAGCATAGTTTGATAAGAGCCCTACTATTGTTTGCTAGACATAGTGACCAAGACCTGCAAGATATCACAAGTCTAAAAAACTGTTCATATTTAAAAACACTTTAAGAGATTGGTAACAAATCATTACACTGCAAGGTTGTGGGTAGAATTGGGAAGACCCAGAAAAATAGAGAAAATATATTTCCGCCAACCCCTTGTGAAAACTTTTCTAATTTCCACAACTTTCATTGTAAGCATTAGTGTTTTACGCTTAAAGGATTTATAATAGCCAATTTCTTGGCCAAATTAAATCTCATTTCAATACTTATGCCTTCCATATACTTATCAAACATCTTTTCCCCATGCCCTGCTCTTACCAAATTAAAATCAAACCCACCTTTGAGGACAACGGTGCCATCTCCTTTTGGACATATGTTAACAACATCATGCATGTCCTTCACTAGTTCCATAACAGAATGGTAACCCAGCATTTGAAATGGAAGCTGTTTTCCTATCATAGACTTGTATTCTTGTTCTAATTGGTAAGGGGTAAGACCTCCCTTGATAGATGTCAACAGTGACCTCACTTCCTTCTTCAGTGAGTTCATTCGGTGTTCTTGATCTGTCATGTTTATACTGACACAATGAAAAAGACAAAGAAAATAGCGTTTCCTATGATAGAAGAACCAAAAATGTCAGAGAACGTTACCTTTGGTCAAGAGGCAACAGAAGAACACAAGTATAGGAAGTCCTCATTTAACAACCACTTGTTCAGTAACTGTTCAAAGTTACAATGGCGCTGAGTGAGTGGTACTTACAACCAATCCTTGAGGTTGCGGTCATCCCAGCACTCCTGCGGTCACATGATCACGATCTGGGCGCTTGGCAACTGACTCACACTTGGATGATTGCAGCGTCCTGTGGTCATGTAATTGCCACTTTCAAACTTTCCTCCCCTCTCTCTCTCCCCA